AAAAAAAAAACGAACGATGAACTGAAACGAAAATCCAGAAAAAAATCGAAATATGAAACAATCACTCGTATTAAACAAACAATTTGAAGGCTTAAACAATGAAGTAACAAAACAAAAATACAATACTTCCCAGTGAGAATATCTAAGAAAGCCTCCGAAAATGAGGCAAATTCGAGTTGGAATATCTGAGACGACAGATGGGAATAGATTATGATCAATTAGATAACACGGGAAATGTGAAATAAAAAACAATCTGAAAAGTCGTCATGACTGCAGAATACGACATTATTATGATTGTTGCTGTACGAAAACGAAACGAAAAAGAGTAACAACAACAGCGGAGAGTGAAATCGATGTTGAATTACGAATAAGTATTGACTGTTTCCGACCACTTAAAACTCAATTTGACTTCATCCATTATTCCGCACTAACAACTGAATGGCGTTTCCTAAGCTTTCAAATAATAACATGAAATTCCACATAATCAAAAAGATTGAACAAGGCAGCTCATCTTTTTCTAGAATTAACTTTATAATATAACCTTTCAAATCATGGTTATGCGTTCATCCAGACAGTAAATGTTGCACATAAAAATTTCAAAAAAGCTCAACAAAATGCCATCCAACATCAAAAAATATGAAAAACAAAAAAAAACGATAGAAACATAATGAGTACGAGCGTTGATTAAGGACGGAAACACTTTCATGAAAATATTTAGCATATACTTATGTACAGTGCAATAAAATAAACAGCAAAAAATTTTAATCTCATCAAGCACAATGAAATGACCGATTGATTTAGACTGATCAAGGTAAACTCCAAAGGTCACTGCTTTTATGCATTTAATCAAGTTGTGCCAGATTCGGAGAGAAAGTGGGTGTCGTCATGAAAAGTTCACCTATTCGATTTAGATGACTAAGGTGGTGACCGAAGTTGATGCAAAATCTAAGCTCATCAGTGGTTCAGTGATACAAATAGTTCCAGCTGTAAGGCCTTCCCAATGAGACTTCACAGCTGATTCAACAAAACAGAAAAAAAACGAAATTCACGTTGCAACAATATCAAAACTATTTCAACAGATGATACCTTGAAATATTATAAGCAATCATCCATTATATATATAATGGATGATTGTCTATAATATTTCAAGGTTGTAGTTTTCTATCATCAATCATTAGAACACTTCATCATAAAACATGCAAAAATGAAATAAATTGATCACTTATCACAATAGTGTATTCCATGAACGAGCAATCAAGTAAACTGAACAGATCCACAATCAAAACTACGACGCATCACTCATTTGCAATCCACTATCAGTTGTATCATTACCGTCTTCTTCATTCAACTTCTGTTTCTTCAGCAAACATTTCTCTTCGGTTTCGGTCGCCGAACCGTCCTCTTGAACCGACGGCAACAAGAAGTCATCACTAAATTCGGGTATTCTAACGGTCATATCGGCGATAAGTGCCGACAAGTCCTCGCTTTCAAACGATGCCGCATCACCACTCGTCACCGACTGTCGTGAACCCAGCACACCGCCCAGCTGCAGCATAACAATTTCAGTTGCACTAATAAACTCGAACCAATACTTTCCTGATTAATCACTCTACTCGCTCTTCGATATTCGAATTGCGCACATATCAAAAAAATAAATAAAACTCGAAATCCGAGAAAATCAGAAATCGATATACCGAGTCGTCATCTAAGTCGCAAACCGAACTGCCTCGTAGTTGTGCGTGAGTCCACTTTTCGGCTTTCTAAACGAGAATAAATATGAAATAATTGAAATGACTACAAAATATTACAGTATTTTCGATTAATCACTCTGCCAGGCGTAGCAAGTCTAGTTTTCCGCAGAATCCTCAATTAAGAACTGGATGAACTGATGTGCATCAATTGCTTTTGCTGACTGCACAAACTCCTTACTTCTTAACCGTATTTCTTAACTGTTCAGTTGAGAGTCTTTTACAACAAACTCGCTCTAGGACTTGACCGTCAGGATTAATGTCGTTTCAGACTTGACCTCATCATTTGCCATAAAGATTCCCGCGGAATGTTGGCAGGTGAAATATGTAGTGATTTCACGATTAGCGCAATTTTTTACATTGTTTTGAAGAAATATTTTCAGAAATTTTTATGAATTTTCATGTTGAATAATAATCAATTTGGTATAGTAAAAGAAATTTTTTAAAAGAGAAGGAAAATGGATGCGATGGATAACCTTGAGCTCGAGTTGTGCAACTGCTTGTTTGAGGTCAGCAATATGTTGCATTGCTTCACTGTATTTTAGACGTTGCATAACAGATTCCTCCTTTAGTTTACTCTCCATTTCAATCGCTTTTCTTCGTTCATCACGAATTTGATCATTCGTTTCCTTTACCTTCTGAAGCCATTTCAATAAGTATTTCAATAAAAATGACAACATGAAGAAGTGATTAATATTTTAACTATTGTTGATTCAGATATTGTGATGTCTGATTAACTATATCACAGGTGATAAACCATCTAAACTTCCTCCATTTACACCGAAGTCGATTTTTGAATGTGCAACATTAATTCTTGAAGGTAGATCGT